TTTGTTTCTCTTAATATTAAATATAAATGAAAGAAATTAAAAAAAGTTTACTGAGATTACAATGGGAGCGACGCACTTGCACACAGTTTATTGCACACACCACTCACATCGGTTTGTTCCTAATAATTTTTATTAATAAGATTATACCTTTTATTTTAAATTAGCCAAATGATGATATGGTCAATTGATATACATCCAATTACATTATATTAATAAATAAAACTGAAATATAATAAATAATATCGAGACGCGTGATACTACTCTTCATCTTTACTTTTCTTCTTTTCTCCTCTCTCTCTCTCTCTCTCTCTCTCTCTCTCTCTCTCTCTCTCCAATGTCATTATTGATTTATATAATTCTAAAATTTATTTCCGATTTATTTATAAAATAATTATGTCCTAAAATATAATTTTTTGTTTAAATTACAAAAATTCATTATACAATTGATTTAACCAATTTCGATACTGCTGGACTGCTGCAACAAAAGTTAAACATATTAAAAGTTATACGTGCAAGATCCATATATCTTTTTCTCCAACAATTTCTTCATAAATGTTTACGTCTTATTGTTACATGTAATGATGTGTTATTCATTTTCTATAATTAACTTTGAAAAGATTATTTTATTTTTTACATTAATTATTACTTTTTAATGTTTGAATTAATTTAATTATTATTGTTTAAATGTATTCTATTACTGTTTTTTTATTCTATTACTGTTTTTTCTAATGTTAAATATATTGAATTAATTCAATCAACGTTATTTGAATTTTGATCATAATTAAAGGTAATTATCCAGAAGAACTGTCTTATCTCGATTGTTAACTAGCGACAAGTCAAAGGTAAGGATGAAAAAAAAAAAGTGTGACTCGTGACTTTTGCTAATTAATGATACCGATAATTGTCGGTAACTACGGTAGACTAGAACGGTAGAATAGTCCTCAATATGTCTGTTCTGTATATAATTTTGTAATTTAATAGTCTAAGCGGTAATGGCTCATGAAAGGATGTAACTTTTTTATTATAGCTTTCTCAAAGACTTAATAATATCTAAAGTTTTTAAAAATTAAATTATCGATTGTGTCAAGTTATTTAATACACGTTCCTGTTGGAACAAGTACAACCTATTCTGAGGGACAAAGATGGAGCTCTATCAAATTGGCGAATAGCTACGAATATGTCAAATTAATGGTGGAATATCAGTAGAACTAGTTTAGGTTGTACTTATGGTAGGCAAAGTATTAATTCGTGTATTTCATACGGATATGACAGTTCTGAGGAACCACTCATCCGACGCTCGGTTCTTTTGTTTCAGCTCGGATACTTTTATCTTGTGTGTTTTTGAAAGTATGTTGCCGACTTAGACTATGTCTTGATAAAACTTGATAAAAACATGTAGCTGTCCCGTGATTTTGGACGACTCGTCCGTTCATCCTGACGCATGTTCGAACGACGTGCGAACTTGTCATTTTCGCGGGCATTGATCATCTGAACCACCTTTTTGTTTTTATGTACCTTGAACGTGATCTAATCTCTGTTTATAATTTTAAGAGGCGGGAGCTATTAATATAAGAAGAAGAAAGACGAGAGATCCAATAAGTATTTAATAAGTAAGTACAAGAGACACTGTAGTTACATTAAAATATTCGAGTATTTTGATAAAATCGTATAAATTAAAGGTGAAAATTAATTGAAAATAGTATCATCGCAGAAAGACTTCAGAGTGATACAAATTAGTATCAGTATTAATACTGTATGAGCTCTATAATGCATGATGATGAAGCGTTTCAAAAAGACATTCAAGGTAAAAATCGGTGTTTGAGAACAATTAGCCAATGGTTTAAAATATTAAACAAAATGCATTAATATTCACTATTATAATAATCAAGTAATGATGTCAATTAATTCTTAATCGCAAAGAAAATAGAAAATTGCACTTTTATAGCTATCTCATTTTATTTTTATATTATGAAGGCATGGGCTATTGGTTATGACGATCGATGTTTGTATTACCATACTGGTATCGCTCATTCTGAATTGATGAAGAAATGATGGAAATTAATAAACGCACCACTACGATTAAATAGAACAAGTAGTGCTATTTTGTCATCTAACAACAAACACAGCATCTGGCACCGCAATAGCAACATCATCAGAACTGGAATTTCTTGGTAAGAATATTAATATCATCTATCATTTGACATCTAAATTACTCAATACTCTTACTTGCATAATAAAATAAAGTTTGATGGATTTGTAATATTATTATATAATAAATACAATGTTATTATAATATTGAATTTTATGTTCGTCTTTTGTCTTTATATATAGAATCATCCTAGTACTGAAGATACAGTATTAATTAGAGAATAGGAAGAACAATCATATTCGACGCCCACGTCTTTAAAATTATGGCAATACTGATGATGGCATTTGCAAAGAATATTTAAGAATATTCAACAAACATCTTTTCAAGATATCACAATGAAAAGAAAAAGAGGTAAAAATTTACGTTTATTTTTATAACAATGATATTAATTAAACTTACTAAACAGTATATGATAATAATGTAATTGTTTTTTTTTTTTGAAAATGTAATTGTTTTTTTTTTATATCTTCCAGTATTTGGTTATGACAGTACTCAGGAGTAAATCCTGCAATCTGTATAACATTGAACAGATAAGTTTATTGATAACAGAAAGAGTCTTTGAAGCAACGTTTCCTTTCAAGAGTGATAGAAGCAAAAGGAAAATTTACAAAAAAATCTCAAAACATGTAATAGAAAGCAATGATAGTACATACCAAGTGAATTCATCAAGAGCAGGCATGCTAATCCACTAAGCAGTTTGAAGTAAAGCAACTACTAAAAAGCAGCATCAAGCCGGCACTACGGAGGCTGCGGAATAAATGATTTTGGCAAACGACATTTTACATGGAAAGGAAGGTCCTTTAACTCATAATTTCACACATTGCGAATCATTTCGATGCTGATCACTATATGTTTTAGATATCATATGTGAAATATGACTATGTCAATTGATTCTATGTCCGAGATCGAATGTAAAACAGTGATAGGAGTGTATCTGGGTCTGGATCAGTATGAGATCAAGACCGACAAATACCTTAATAGTATTTCACAGTCTGGAATGTCTATTCTGAATAAAATATTGAATTTTATATTGCTGCGAATAAAAATCGCAACTCCACCAGTCATATCATGGAGGAAATCTCCTTTAATAATATTATAACCTGAAAAGCTCAATTGAATTGAAGGAACCAACTAAGTTTCCTAAGTAACCAAAGCGATATCGCATTTATTCATGAAGTAATTAAACTTCAAATTTTTGTTGTTGATACTGG